TTTTGAGATTGAAAAATCTGAAATACAATACAAATTCAATAAACTATCAGCATCGTCGGGTTTAGTTTATTATTCAAACTGTGTAAAAAAAAAAAAATTAAAAAAACCTATGTGGACTGTTGCTTCCGTTGTCTTGTTGACTTTGCAACAGTCCCTCATACTTATTTCCTTATTTCTGCATGACAGAAATAAGGAAATAAGAAACCTCCAACTTGGCACCTTCTTTGAACCGATCAAGAATAGATTCAATTTTAGGCTAGGTCCAATGTTTTCTAAAATGTTATTCACTTTTATGAATTTAATACAATGCACTTGTGTCAGAAATACATTTATTTGTTGAGTGAAAATAATTTCTGATCTTGATCTTTCATTATTTTCCTGGACTTAGTGTAATGAGAAAACAGCCACACATTTTATTTTATATTTATTTATTATTCATTTATTTAATTCATTTACAGTTTAAAATTAACATCTCACATATTGATACGAACAAAAGTTTTGAATGAAAATAGTTAGTTGCAAGGAAAAAAATCTCTCCTTTGGTTGTTTCAACACCCATTTAAGCCCATGTAAAAATTAGGTTTTAAAGAACGTAATTTAAATCAGACGCGACAAATTGGTTGTTTCTATACTGAACCATTTTTCTTTTTCAGGAAGGACATGTTGTCATACGATTAAATAAAACATCTGTCTTATCCAGTCATCATGATCACTGCAAATTCTTTATGAATGAATGCATCAAAGTCTCATCAAAACAGCGCTGACGTTTTTGCAACGGTGTTGAATCCTTATGAATGAAAACATCTTTCCAGTCTAGAAACATCAGTGCCGTACTTTGTTCTACTTAAAGTGAAGGGATGCTTAGGTCAGAGGCTTAAGCAGCATGTATGATAAGCTCTTTAAAAGCTACCACACAGCTGTTGTCCGGCTTACAACTTCACCAGTAGCTGCCAGTATTGGACTTTGATTGATCCCGACTCAACTCATCCTTAGAATCTAAGCCCGCCAAGATTTCCTCACTGTCATCATTTTCAACACGATATTTAGGAGAATCCAGTTGCCTTGAAGGGTTAATATGGAAGCACGGTGAAATTCAGCCTTTGCCAGTTCGTTACCTTTTCACCAGTATTGATAATTATGTGCTCTATTATCAGGCAAATTGCACTGAAAACATGCCTGCAGATTGAATCTGGGCTTGGCTGAAGATTTGATTGTCTGATTTTTTGGTGGAGTTTGGGGTGAATAGATCATTTACTCTGAATACATTCCTGAAATAATAGTTAGAGGCAATATTATGTATTTTCCAGGCACATAGTGCCGTTTCATAGCACAACAAAGTAACTCTTACCTTCAGTTTTTATAAAAATGCTGCATATCAAACTTGAGTTGAAACAACTTTGATTTTGCATTTTAGCACCTTGAAATAGGGTCTGTGTCTCTTTAAGAAGCTCCTCTTCTTTCTGACACTCCGCCTTCAGGACAATGCTTCTCATTATGCTGTTTACAACCATTTTGGGAGCAGTGGACTGAGAAGTTTATGATGAACTCAGCAGACTCACAGCTCCATCAGGTGTTTGCAAATTTTAGCTGCCACTAGTCTGAAGGAGCTGAGTGGGGAAGCCACAGCCTCTGTAATGAGGGAGCGTTGCTGCAGACTGCAGCTCTAAGGAGGAGCTGTATGGAAATACGCTGTGCGTTGTGGGAGAAAGGCATCCTGTACGGCTACCACAGGAGATTCAGCGATTCTTCAAAAATGTTTGACCAAAACTAAATATGTTTTTTATAGCATTCAACAGAAGTATGCACTCCACAATCAACTCTTTTTAGCTTTTTTTGATTGGTGGCTGAGTGTAAATGCTGGTAGCTACCTTGCTATGTTTGCTGTAAATTGTCATGATTTATTTCTTTCGATAATAAATAATGGCAAGATGTTTTGCTTTCAATCATTACTGGAGAAACATCATTTGAAAAGTCTGCTGCAAATGTATGGAGAAAGAGGGGTCCGTGTTTGATTGTATTCATCTTTCATTTGTCTTTTCATTTGTTTAGTATGTCATCAAGTGAATATAGTTGTCTGAGAGCTGCACTGATCACTATCAGTTACTGTTTCTCTGCTCAAAGTTGCATTTGTGTGCTTTGGCTTGTGAGGCCCAACTGAAGTGGACTTTGAAAGTCGAGGCTAAAAACGTACACACACAGAGAGACAGGTGCAAAACAAACTGTCAGACAGGTTTCACTCCACAGATCTTTGTCCGGGGCAAATATTTGTGACTTCTGTCTACCTGTACATGCGGTTGAAGATATTCGTAACTTCTGAAATTCACTGTTATATTTCACTAAGAGAAAACATGTAATTCTTCCTTTACTGAAAATACTGCATGAAAGTGCAGACTTTCATTGATTAAAAATGGAGGAAGTTGCCAGTCTGCATTGAAGGATCAGTAAAAAAAATCTATCCAGTTTGACCGGATGATTGCCAAACAAGGAAAGTTGTCTGACTCTGCAGCACATTTTTTTTCCTTTCTGGAACATTGATGTATATTTAATTCACATAACTTCTACTAAAAGATCATAGTTTGCCATCAAACTAGCAGGTTAACGTTACTGAAACGTCCCCAGCTTTGTTTTTAAACAAAGGATGACAACATTATAAGTTAAGGTCATTTATTCTGGATGTCATGAGTCGTCGAGTTTTGATGTTCTGTTTTTAAATTGCAGCCATTGTTTTATTTCTACCCATTTGCTCTTGTTCAATTATTTCCTTGTGACATGGTTTTAGTCATGTTTTTATCCGATTCTCTTGTTTTTCTTGCGATTTACCCTCTTTCCACTCTTTCATCATCTTTCTCCAAGTATTTAGACTATCTGTTTTACCAATCCTTGACCAATTTTGCTACATGATGTTTCCTCCCTCATGTTCTTTCCTATTTGTAATTTTGCTTTTCCTGCCGTCCTCCCCCTTGTACTTGCGTCCTTCTTCACCAAAGTAAATGACAGGCCTGTCGAGCAGAAGTTAATCTCCAAATTTCATTTATGTACTGCTTGCTAAACCACATTTTCTAGTCTGTCATCTCTTATTGTGTTACCTAAAGATGTGTGGAATTTTTCAACTTATCTTTAACAAAGCTGGGCTGACGAACAACATTAACCAACTGGTGATGTGACATTTTTTTGGGGTGGGGTAATTTGTTTGGCAGGGTAATTACTTTCAAACTTTGTTAAGCAACTTGATAAACAGTTCCAGTTAGCCAGAGAAGAAGTCAAAGTTTCCCCAAGATCTTTCTACTGTTTATATTTCAGTGGAATCCTTCATGCCAGACCAAACCCCTAAAACTCGGACAGTGTCCGGTGAGCCAAAGCTTCGATGTACGATTGGCCTCTCTCTCTGCTTCTGAGAATGATTGGTCAGTCCACGCCCTCGCCTCATTCTCTCTCCCTCTTCCTACTTAAATACTTTTAGCATAAAGAGAGAGAAGGAGGGGAGGGGGATGGGAGATCCATGGGGGATGGGAGCTAAGTGCTACCTCTGTTGTCACTGGCCAGAGAGAGAAGCAGAGAGAGAGTGGGAGAGAGAGAGACAGGGAGGGAGGGAAAGAGCAGAGTTGTGTCCCATATGTGGAAAAAAAAGCATAGCAGTGCACACACGAGTCTGGTCAGCTCCGGGGATTATCCTAGTGCTCTCAGATCTGATGGAGGACATGCAGGCATGAATAGGTAAGGCCGCTTGTCTTCTCTGCATCTCTGTGTCGATCTGCTGTCACTGCCAGGTGCTCTCCCTGCTGTTTGTCTGGAATCGAGCTCTTTTGAAGCAGTTCTCTCCTCTCTTTGGCCACTGACCATTAGACGTTTCTTTCCCCCCTGCGAACAGAATCTCTTTCCTGCAAAGAGGTTCTGTTTGTTTGAAGTGGAAGCTGTGGTTTGCTGCTGCGGGGCGGATTGTTATTCTGGGTTGCGAGTGGTAAAAGTTGGCTGTCAGTTTAAAGTGTGTGTGTGTGTGGGGGGGGGGGGGGGGGGGTTGTTGTGTTGTTGTTGCGTCCAGAGACGAATCGAGGGGGTAATTGCGTAATATCTCCTTCATGTGAACGAAGGAATGTAAATAAATGTCTTTCTTGTTACTGTAAGCTGGATGTCTCTACATCCATGACAACAATGTTACTTTACTGTGAATTATTGTAGCCTGATAAAGTTATTTGAATTTAGGGAATAAATAGTGAGAAAATTCATAAAATTTTCTGTAGAAGTTAAATATTTTTGTCTGTTCCTTTAATTTTCGATTTGCTGAGAAATGCATCTTTTTGCTGTGCATGAATAATTAAGCAAGCATTCCCAAAGCTCTTGTAGTTTATGGAAGAATGAAGCAATAAACATCGAAAGATTAATCCGCCTTATCATATATGTATACTGAAATGATCAAAACCAAAATGAATATTTCCTACAGTATATGCTGACTTGCCTCTTTAAGTCAATTAAAGTAAAATTTGTTTCCCATTTTTAAAACGTTTAATTCTACCCTGTCAACAAAATTAATTGAAAACCTTTTATTTACCAGATTGGTTGTTACGTGAAACTTGAAAGGAGAGATCTTTTGACTACATTTGGCTTATGAACCTCCAAAAGTATTTGCTGTCTCAAGAATGCAGTCTTTATTGCCCCAGCGCACGGAGCAATGGTATGCATGAGTCTTTTTGTAAGGCAGATTTAGAAAGCCCTCTTTGGAGGCTGAACACAGCTACACAATCAGCTTAATGCCTGCCTGTAATGAATGCCCTTGTGTCTTGTGTGTCTGAATTTGGCTGACTGAGTGTGTGAGTGAGACAGAGTGTGAATTCTGGTTCTGTTACACCGATACGGCTCTCAGGTTGGTCCGTAACTCTATCGTCCTCTGCTTCGGCGTGTTCAGACTCATCTGAAATTGTTGGTTAACATTTGTCAAAGCTTTTCACAGCGGCCTCCAGCAGCCTCATCTATTTCTATTTTCTATTTTTCTCTGTCTTTCTCAGGGCTGTTCTGTTGTCAGTGCGCGCTCATGCCAGTGATGGACCCCAGCCGGACCTGCGCTAACCTTAGCTGGCATTCATGAAACAGCATTCCTCCTTACTGAGACCAGCTCCACAGAATGCTGAGTCCTATTGTCCCTTATAGTGAGTAGGACACGCTCTTGTTTTTTTCCCCCCTCCTCTCTAAACTACACACCACAGAGGCTTGACTTAGTTGGACTTTGCCTGAATCAATGAGCTCTCACAGAAAAAAATAAGTGGGAGTGGACATGTGCAAACAGAACGAGCGATGCACCGGTGGCTAAAAGTCGGGCTCAGCGCAGAGACTGGACTTTTCTTTGATACGCAGAGTGGAAACGCTAAACCTTGAGCACTGAATGTTTCATCAGCAGCCGGTAGAAAACAGCTGTGGCACAGAAGAGGAACAGAGGAAGGATGGAGGGATGACGGGTTAAGCTGCACAAACCCCTTAGCTAGGCAAGTGTAATTTTACCGATACACCAATGCAGGACTTACCACAACACACACTTCCTCCTGCTTCTCATTTTTCTTCCCACAGTGCTGACCTAATAACTGACATGTCCAGTGCCATTGCTCCCCTGTGGGCACCCTCACACCGGGCCTCTTAGGAGTCCAGTGCTCGGGCTCTCCAAAACAGCATTGTTTGGTGGCCAGCAGGGGCCAGCCTCTGTGGCCTCGTCCTCAAGAGCCGCTTTTTCCCAGCTCTTTAACTCGCCTCAATGGACCATTATTGGCATGACAGTTACAAGAAAGGAGGGAGAATCAAACAGAATAGTTAATTTAAAAAGTATTACTTTATAATTGATGACAGAAACTTCTGTTTGTGCACCGGCATGTAAAAACACGTCGGAATGGCAGTGTAGGCAGATGTGTGGCTGTTTCGAGTTAGAAATGCTTGACTGAAACATAAGCTGATGTTTGATGTTTACTTTTCTTAGAGATGCACCAGTAAGTCTGCTTGAAAATAAAATCAGACATGTACTTGACATGTTGATGTGTCTCAGATGTTTAGCAGATCGAATACTAAACATGCTGATCTTTTTTATGTTCATAAAGCGAGTTAAAGACAAGAACCCCCACCTCAAAGACCTCAAAGAAAACAAAAGTGTGACACTGACCAGGAAAAGCTTCATCGTTACATGCCTAAACTTCAATGTCTTACCCTTTAATGGCTTTGGAAGGATGCCATAACACTTCAGCATCACCTCACTATGCATTTAACACTGAATCATACACAACTTGATCACCGGTTAAGCCAGGCTGACAAGTACTTTTTATCCATGTTGGAAACATTTGGCCACATTACATCAGCATCATGTCCACCACTGCTTCAAAATGAATCCAACTCTGACTCGAATATTGTAGCAATGACCCAATAGAAACTTTATCTCATCTCACACTGTGCTATGCACATGCGATCACTCACCTTGAAGCTGAATGTGAAACTGACAGCATGACCTACTTTCTGATTAATTCAGTTAAAAATTATCCGACCACTTGGGGGGATTTGCAGAACATTTGTATGGATAAAGATTGTCTTTAATTGTTGTTGTGATGAAACATGTGGTGGTTATTAATACTGTTATAGAACTTGGTCATCATTAAATCCATTCTGTTATTGCACAATGAAACTATTTGTGAGTTTTGGCTGTGCAAGAGATGTGAAGTGGAAGCAGTATGAAAAAGGCCCTGGAATTACAGCTTCATCTTTGACTTTTGGAAAAAAAATCTCCTAAAAGGATTGTTTATCTGAAATCACTTTTTGTTTCTATCTTCAAAGTAAAAACATTTTTTTTTGTTTAGTGGTAATATAATAAATATCTGACTAAGTAAAACAAAGCATGATAATATAATTCTAATTTACTTAGCTAAGTGATTCTTCTCCAGTAACTGAACATTTTTGGGCAATGTAAAATAGATTTATGCAAATTGCTAAATATCAGAAAGTGTCTGAAGAATAACACAAACATTTGTGTTGTTGCTTCCCTGGTAAGCTGATCCTTAAATATGAAAACTAAATAAACAAAACTGAAATAATGTCCTTGTTCCTGATACAGCAGGACACTGTGAATTCCTCACGGTTAATTCTGTTTCAGTTTCTCACTTGAAGACCTCCAGACCATGTTTTTCAGTGCACTTTACATACATGCAAAATTGGAAATAGAACAACAGTAGCTTGTCTATTGCTTTTTGCAAATTTCATCCTTTTGATAGGCACCATATCTACATAGTAGATCTTTTACTCTGAATAAGAAAGGACGATGTCCAAAAGTATGTTCACACAAATAAGTATAATTAGGTTGACATGTTTGGATTACGCTGAGGATTCCTTTTAGATTGCAACACCAGCTTATTTTAACCTATCTAGTGACACACCTTATACTAAGTTGAGTTCTCCTGGAGACGGTAGCTCTAAGAATGTCACAGACGGATGGCGGAAAAGTTGGTCTGCTTTCAAACGTCTCTCTGCTGGTTAATAGGGATCTTCTGAACCTTTGTGGGGCGGGGAGCTCATTTTACGACTGGGCGCAGTGGTTTTCTCTGTTCGACAGCTTGGTAGGTTCCCATGTACAGCGTAGCTCTGTTGTCGAGGTCATTTAAGAACAGCCCGCTAGTGTGTGTTTGCAGAAAGGAGCTTCGTATGGTTACGCACAGCAGTGTGAGGTAGTCACACTGTTTACTCTCAGACCGGTGACACACAAGCTCACCCATGTGCTTGCTGGTGACACTGCAGCTCTCAGTTAAAGACTGGAGTCATAATTGAGAAAGATTTTGCATGTGTGCAGAGCATGCGAAGACTCTCACCTCCATGTTGGAATGCCACTTTATGGGAATGTCCAGCTTCCTTCTGCTACTTCTCACTCACGTAGTTGGCTTTTCTGTTTCTGCGCATAGAGCATAGATGCACCCATGGTTACATGACATGACAACAGCTTGTATATACAACATGCTGTTGGTCCTTGTCTGTGGCTGGTCCAGAATACCTCAAGCTGGGTGAAACCGCTATCGCCGGACCTGAGACGAAACCTGAGAGAGATTCCAGGGGCCATGGATACTCCTGGAGGGATTTGGTGCAAAAATCTGTAATCTGCACTTCAAACACGCTCTTAAATCAGTCCCAGGCCGCCAACCCAGAAGTGCCCTAACTCTTGTTGCTGCCCCCCCCCCC